GCCTCGTGATGTAGTTTGATGATTTGCGTAGTGTATGTCCTATCCATTTCAGTCATCTTTGCTAATTTCTTCTTCAGCTGGATGCTGGTTTGTTCTGTCCCACAGTAGGTTGTTGATGATGACATCAGGTCAACGGATAATGAGTATCTTGAATAGACAATTATATGTAAATACTTGTACATCTTTGATGGTGGTTGTTGTAGTTCTCCAAGTTTCAGCTCCGTACAGTAGAACTGTCTTGACATTCGTATTGAAGATTGTGACTATAACACTGGTTGACAGTTATTTTGAGTTCCATATTTTCTTTAACTGTACGAATGCCGTCCTTGCATAGCCAACTCTTGTCTTCACATTTGCAACATGGACAAATAAGTGGTCTTGATAAGAAACTAAAAAAAATATAGAATAAATATTCCATTTTTAAAACACTGACTTATCGGAAGAAAGCATGTATGAATATAAAACAGGAATATATTATTAATTTACAAAATTATTTAAAACATAATTACTGACTCACATTAGTCTGAATACTTATTGATGTTATGTAATCTATACATATATATTGACTAAATAGACAAATATAATTTATTGAACTACCTTCATTACTTACTTATGCCTGTTACTCCTAATGGAGCATAGGCCGCCGACCAGCATTCTCCAACCCACTCTATTCTGGGCCTTCCTTTCTAATTCCATCCAATTCTTGTTCATTTTTCTCATGTCTATCTCCATTTCCCGGCGTAATGTGTTCTTTGGTCTTCCTCATTTCTTTTGGCCTTGAGGATTCCATGTGAGGGCTTGTCTTGTGACGCATTTCGGTGCTTTCCTCAATGTGTGTCCTATCCACTTCCAGCGCTTCTTCCTAATTTCTTCCTCCTCTATGATCTGGTTTGTTCTTTCCCACAGTTGGTTGTTGCTAATAGAGGAACTGATATATCTCTAAATGAAATCTCATGCATTATTTGTAAAGAAGCATTTTTCTGAATAATTAAACAATTTTAAAAAAATCGTCTTCATAACAAAGTTGTGTAACAAGTACTTACAATTACAGTAAAAAGAAAAATAATAAAATGGACAAGACATAACAAAATTACATATTTGTTTGATTATTAATTCAAATGGATTATTAACAGGTATTGACTAATCAACCTTTGTCATTGCATGCATAACAACGTTTAATTTAAACAAAATTTCTATTTGTCACCAATTATATGGTTTTTGTATTTGACATTCATACAAAGTGCATTGAGAAACTATTTGTATGACAATGATTACAGGTTTTTATTTGAATCCAAGTTTATTTAACTTGACCTTTAAACAGGCATGTTTACACATGTTTTAATTTCAGCCTAGTTCATTGATCAAGTTTTAACAGATTATTGTTTTTGTTTGATAAATACATTAAACTGTTTAATATTCCTGATATTGATTATAAAATAGACATGTTAAAAGAAAACAATGTTTTCTTTATTCAATCAACTGGTCAGTCAGTAAATTTGTTAGTCAGGTATGAATTGAAAACAACTAGTAACATATTAATTAATCGTTTACGATCTTCATTTAAAAAAAAAATTGAATGACAATTGACAATAATTGCACAATGACTTGCATTTGAATAATACAGTCGTACAATTATTCAAAATACAATAACAACAAGAGAGAGAGAGAGAGAGAGAGTAAGTTTTCCAATAAGTTGTATACTTTAAATTACTTATTTCAATTTACAAAACTATACTAAAGATGAAGAGAATAAAAGAAAGTGAGAGCACATTTCACGTATGAACAATAACTTAAAGATGATATATTGACCATAGACGAATATGATGCCGTTTGACTTTTATAGCTTTTTAGTTTAGTAAGAGCTCATTGAGATAATACAAGACTGAGAAAAAGAGAGAAATAGTAATACAGTTCAAATAGTTACTAGCTTTAATCATATAATATCAGTGTATTTATTAGTCCTTTCTTTTAAATAGTTTACAAAAGGAAATATTGCATGGAAATGTGAAGAAGTACGTCATTCTATCTTAGTATTTGAATTAAATTTTACGAACAAATTAAATTAGACAACTAATAAAATGAATAGAAATTAAAACATTTACCTCTGAATAAGTTGATATCCGATCTATGAATGGTTTATTCTTGGAAGCAATATGTAAAACTGTAAATAGATGTCTACACACGGTAATCATAAAATATAGACGAAAAAAAGAATGAAATGTAATCTCAGTTTAACACTGCATTGTTATGTTAATTGTAATAATGTTAAATAATAAAAATAACTGAGTGAAGTTAATAGTAAAAAGATAATGACCGAGATAAGAAAAATAAGGATTAAGTAAGATTAAGTTGATGCTCCATATGGATAAATTATGTTAAGGATTTGATTGGTGAGTTACATGTAATTCTGATACACTTCTGAGTATTATAAATCCTTCTGACTATGACAGACTGTAAAATTTAATCTTTTACCTGCAGAGATAATATTTCAATTAGATATATTCATGTTACGATAAATGATACACCAGGATTTATTTAAATATTAGATAACAGAAATGAAAATAACAATAAATGAATAGTTTTTATAAATGAAACTGATAGATAAAGTGTTAATCTAATCTGCTAATATTTATTCCTTTATAGGTTGTCCGCACAGAAGTTCTCCTTATTTGAAGATAGCATAAGTAACTCAACCACTTTTGAAAAAAAGTTTAAAAATTAGAGCAGTAGAACAGTTTAATGGATAAAAATTGGATTTTTGTAACAAATTTAGCGTATTATGAGGTTAACAAATGTGGTATATACCATGAAAAATATAAGGAGATACGATTTGATTGGTGACAATTAGGGAATAATAGTTTATAAAGAAAATGATTAGTAACTCATATTTACGTGTTTTGAATATAAGCTAAACGTAATAAATTATGATCAGAATGGAAAAGGCAGTAGACTGAAGTGTATCACTTGAACTGGTTTCCCAGGTTTTATATCCTAGTGACTATAGCCTAATGAATTAACATTTAATGTGTGTCTTTAGCATCTATCAGTTATAAACAATACAATATTTTCGTTCAGTATAACATTGATTTACTTCAGTATGATGTTTATTCAAGATAATATTCCTTGCATTAATCCAAGGTAAAATTTGCAACTCGGGTTTTTGTAGTAATTCTGTGCGTTGCCCTTATGTGTGATGTTTGCCGACTAATCAACAGGTTTGAGTAAAGTCGATATATAAATAAGTGCATTCATGTGTTAACCCAACTTATTTCTGGGGTCAAGGAAATCTAATATCATCAGTGTTTATCCTTTCACTACGCACCGTCGGATTAGGGATTTCAATACCAGGTTAGTTAAGTATTCTTCAGACGTGACAGTGACAGACATAACATTTTCCAAGAGTTTAAGCCCTCCATGTCAATGAACAAGGTGGGAAAGAAATGAAGATTCATTGATGTCACTGAATAATGGTCACCTTAAAACATTAATTGATAGAAGTTAGACCATTCAATTTACATAGTGGGTTCTCTGCAAAACTTGGAGGTCATAGATTTAATACTGTGTAGGATTGCAGGTGTACATTGTTGATAATTTACCCGTCCATAGAACTTATTTGCCGATAAAAGATGATTGAGTCTTTTCAGAGTAGCAACGATGGAAATGAAAAACGTTTTACAATAATAACGTATTTTTTCCAACGATTTACAACTTGTACCATACCTCATCTTTTAGAAACTTAGTACTATCCATTTATTAATGGATTACTGTTATAATCAAAGAAGTTGGTTTTCATTCACTTTGTAGACTGAAAGTGTATTAATAATTGTAAAGTTTCCTAAAGTCATCTTACATAATAAAATATAGCACAAATGTTAACCCAAGAAACGGGAGAAGAGCCCATACTTTAAAGTCCCTTCCTATTCGAATTCATCAACCAGGTATATGTAGAACCCTTTAGATGATATTTTGCACAAATTCGGTTTAATATCACTCATTTAGGCTATCCATAAGTATCATCATTAAAGTCATGTTTGTTCCAAGCTGTTACCTGAAGTAGTAAATTAGATGTGATTAGATTAGAACAAGTCCTAAAGTCTTACAGTTGAAAACAGTTTAAACTGTTTAGCTGTTTTCCTTTTTTTTCTTATCAGTGCTGAAGGAAAATCACTTCGTCATTTCATCTCATCCATACACTATCATTGAAAATGAACTTGTTTCGAACTTGTATTCAATTTCCTTAAAAGTAACAATAAGTAAACCAGTAGACCGAATCGTCCATTATGGATAAATAAGATATGATATTCAATGAAATGTCTCGAATGAACGTTTCAAAATAAAACTAAATAGTGAAATTAATTACTCAAAAACTGAAATATTTTTTCTATGGTAAAACAGTTTGTTAATTTACTTCTTTTAATGAGTAGTTCTTATTTTTATCATATATTTCGATTACCAATAATTGATTGAGGCCAATTTGCTTGACAAATAAGTAATGGGCGAGACAAGCTTCTTCTGATGGCGCCTGTGAATATCGTTATCTTATAATAATAATAATAATAATAATAATAATAATAATAATAATAATAATAATAATAATAATAATAATATTATTATTATTATTATTATTATTATTATTATTATTATTATTATTATTATTATTATTATTGTGGACAATAAATTATTAGTCATGTTAACTAACCGTTATTATGATTGGTCTAGCAAACAACCGGTTTTTATTCACTTTCACTTATTCCATTGACTATAGGCCAGACGTGATATTGAACCAACCAATTATACAGATAGTATGATCTAAAAATAAGTTATTGAGTTTCTTACTATTATATTTAATAAATAGATGAAATTACATGAGAATAAAATGATTACATTTTATTTTTTATTTCACATTGCAAAACTATCCGACTGATATTAAGAATTTTGTGAGGAAAACCTTCCAAGTGAGCTCACAGAAAACTAATCATTTGTGCTGAAATTTAACAAATATGGGTTTACAGCAAGAACCTAGTAAGTGAATCCACCTAATTGAATGTACTTCTTTTGTGATATTTCTGAAAAATAGATATTCCTATCGAATTTTCGTTTTTAATGGTGGTAATTACAAATAATTTGTTTTCCGAAATAAAATCAAAATAGCTTTATATAAACAAAAGAATTGAGGTTTAACGAAATATGGTTAAATGTGATCGAGGCCGAGGCTCTGGGTTTGAATCATGCGAGCGGGATCATGGATGCGGACCACTGAGGGGTCCTACAATAGAAAAAAAAACGGCCGTCCAATGTTTTCAGGTTTTCAATAGCGGTCTAAGATCAATCAGTTCATGATTTCAATCAAAAAGTAATAATCTCCACAACCCCATGCAGATAAATGTGACTATGTTTTCTTAGAAGTTTACAGATATTTTACCAAAAATAGTCTATTTACATGTATTTAGAACAAATACAGTTTATTCGAATGATTGTAGCAACAATAAATCTACGTAGATGTTTGGTACAATGAGTTCGGAGCAGCAGTTTTAAGATAATGGCATCATCAATTTGAAATGAATACACAATGACCTTCATAGGAATTATTTATTACCATAAAGTATTATGAAATCACGAGACACTTAGGCATTAGAGGGTTTGGTGAAATTCGGGTCTTTTATTAAGACCCTAGGAACCGGACGAGATCTGCTATTCTATGATCTGAAGATCATATTTTAATTATAGTGGTGTTACTGGCCCCAAAGAAAATTAACTTCTAAAGAGATGAACTCGTGTATTAACCATTTCAGTAATTAATATCTTATTGATCAGAACCCGAAAATCTTCAATAAAAAATCTTCCAGTATTCCATAACCTTACAGGGATGTAGTCTATCGGATGTTAATACTTATAATGAAGCATTTGCGTACTATTGTCTCATTGACTCATTAACGTTTGATACTTTAAATAACTTAATTTTGTAAAAGTGTGACAAAATGTTCTTATATTGCTTTGTCAACCAAAACTGAATTACAGATGGATTAGGTTATCAAAATGGAGATTACTATTAACGGTAATCTATAAAAATGGATTTAATTTAGTGTACATATCCTATTAATTAATAATTCTATTTGTATCCAATTCAGCTTACAAAAGATTAAAACTAAGAGTTTTAAATAAATCCCGTTATTTCTGAGCAACTTTCAAGTGTATTATATAAATTAAATAGCAGGAAATCTAAATTCCTTATTTTTCTCATTCCCATTAGTATATTTCAACATGAAATCATTTTATTTTTATACATGAAATGTACTTCCTAGAGAGTGACTAACATTACTACCGTGGAAGTTAAATCTATCAGCTTCCATTCTTTAGGTTTTAGGTTCATACCCAGTTCATTATTTTCAATTTGTGTTGATGAGTAGTTTCACTATCGTTCACATGAGCAGTATTGGTTAAAATTGAATACATAAACGTATTCCTAGTAAATGAGCTACACTATTTGATTTAACCAATACATCGAGGATTTAAGAAAATTATTAAAAATTCACTGATGGGATTGAACTATTCATAAGATTACTTGAATACGATTATGTAAATCATTGTCTGATTTCGATTGTTTACTTAATACAAAAACGAGATATTTATCATCCTATTTGTTATCATTATTCTGTTTTGTGTTATTTACTTTTACATATAGTTATGAGTAATATTTATATCACCTCAGGGATTTTCTCTTATTTATCACATTTGTGAATAGAATGATTGTAAATATCGTTCTCAAAGATAAATAGATATAGTCAATCAGGTAAGAGTAATCTTATTGTCAAATGGCCAATTATTAGTTATATTGGGATACAGGGTTATTGAATAATTTGTAGTGGCTGTGCTTCGTTAACCAATCACCCTCGTAACCGTTATCGTATAATCCTCAACGGTGTTTGAAATCAGAAGGCAAAGAGAAGCAGCGACTACAGTTTTATTAGCAGATAACTTAGATCACAAAGCAGTGGGGAGAATGAATGAGTCAGCGAACAGAGAGTTTAGAGTGTAAATGTACATGTATATATTTAGGGAAATGAATGGATCATCGAATCAATAAAGCAGTTTATAATAAAGTTAGCAGAATGAATATATGTGTAGGCGGTAAGCAATGTTCGAGAATACATATTTCATACAAGTACAACAATAATAAAGTACAATAAGTTGTTATTAGTACGGATTACTTTGTCCGCTAAATAAGTTAACAAAAGGGCTTAACTGAATTAAATGAGAACAAACTCAATTGCACGTGAGTTGCTATAACTTATTTGAACTATTTTCGTATAAGCAAGTATATGGATCAGAGCGTTTTAATTTTACCAAACCATTTTTTTATTGTAAGTGTAGAGGATGATAGATTTTTGATTGAAATGTTCACATTTCTTCAATGACTAACTGACAAAGCATTTTATTTATCACTATAATTATTAATCAATAAATAAATAGTAAATTTCTGTAATTTACCCTAAAAGGTTTGCTATCGAAAAGAGGATATTACTTTATTTACTGTATTGACTGAGTGGTTGTAAAATGAATAATCACTACAATGAAAACAGTATTAGGTCATTTGCAACATCTTTCGCCATTCATCTTATATTGTATAACAGAATTTTTGTGATATAATTGAGATAATCAGCAAACTGATTGAAGTTGGAAAGTTGTACAATAGTCTAGTGGTAATATGTTTAATAATAACATTGAGGTATGTATTAGCTCTCTTAAAATTATAGATACAAGTCGAAGTGTGCTGACTAACAAGAAAGCTAAATTTAGCATTTCTTATCGTTTGTTACCAGTCACTTGGTATAAAGCAAAATATTTAAAAGTTCTTTCAATAATAATAGTCTGCTAAATATGTTTAATCTTTTATTGTGATTATTGAAAAAAATTGTTTTACTGATATTTATCCTAGTGTTATCAGGCAAAACTGACCAGAATAAAGAAACACCAGTAGTTACAAGTCAACCAGTAACTATAATTCCTTTACAAGATCATCCAATAACTTTGAAATGTCCCAACTGTCATCAAGAAATTGTAACGAAGATTAAATATCGTAATGGTATGCTAACTTATGCAGCTTGTACAGGTTTATGCATAGTTGGGTAAGTTAACAACAGTGTTTGATTTGATATTCACTTGTTTAAAAAAGAGTTATTTCTTAATATATAAACAAAATGTTTATTATTTTGAAAGTGATTATTAACCAGTAATAACTTCAAAACGGATAATCATTTCCTAATATTGTATGTTTCATTGAAATTTTAATTCTAATATTTAATTCATGATCAATACAAAGTTTAATGTTTAATTATGCTAAAATGTATTAGTATGTAAATGTATGTGTCATGTAGTTGTTGTTGTGTCAACCCAAGAGTCAAATATTCTGAGGAGTTTAACCATACACTACTTGAATGTCTAAGTATAATTCAATTGATCAAGTCATTAAATAGACATAAGTAATGCATTGTGTTATGATTTGCTTTATATAAACCAAAATTCGAATTACTTTTAATGGTTAATCGCTTTTAAAATTGACAGTATGTTACTCAAAGTCAACTAACAATACCATGTTACAAAAATATTCCAAAATTGTTACTAATTTATAATTTATAAATTAGGCATGTCTAGAGTGTGATCTCTTACCATTTTTGACAATCATCTGAATATTGTATAATAGCCCAAGGTCACTGATAGTTAACAGTAAACCTCCAAACGAATGTAAATAATTAATTAATTAAACTTGGACTAATTTTAATTTGGTTATTTATTCTCTGAAGAAGTGGCTTACACTAAGTCACGAGACGTCAGAAAATCTAATTTTCTACTCATTGGGATATTATAAATATATTATTTTTATTTATAACAATCTACCCAATGCTCAATTTATTCGAAACTATCAAATCAAACTTTGGTAATGATACCTACTCCACCTTCAGTAATTTATGTTCAATATAAGTTTAAGTAATATGGAGTGCATAATGCTATGAAAATTAGTATTGATGATGGAGTAGATTTCAGCGAAATTGAATAGTGGAATAATCCAGCAACTGTAAATTGAGATTTAGGATATTCAATGTTAATCATTAGTAGTTACTTTCATCCAAGATTGATAAATTGATTATAATCATCATTTAAGTATAGGTATTTGAATCTTTAAAATTTGTATTAATTTCCAGATCATTTTGTTTTGATTAATATACTGAAACCATTTTAGGATACTTCTATTTTGATATTGATTTTCACTATATTATACTACTATTCAGTAGTGGGTAAAAGAATAATTTATTTCCCAAGATATGGGTGTCATAATTTAATAGCCTATCAAATAGTGCATCGAATTTTGAAAACTAAATAGATAGTTAGTTAAATTCCCAGTGAAAATTTCAGAGTCTGACAAGTTCAAAATTAGGTTAACATGCAATTAAGATTTCAATATTAACTGTTAGTAAATAAAAGTATACAATTTACCCATAATTTCTGTGTTCAATACGGTTTTGTATATATATAGTTTTTTTCTTTTGTACTATTTAAACTTGTGTTAATTTAATTCGGTTATTTATTTACTCTGAAGAAGTGGCTTACATTAAGTCACGAAACGTCAGAAATACAAATTTTCAACTCATTGGGATATAACAAAAAATATTCATTATAGAAACTATCAAGTTCAACCTTGGTATTGATTACCTATGAAAAAGTTATAGCAATACTGTTTAATTTATGAAAATTAGGAAAAATCTTCACTCTTGATTGTTCGAATGTTCGAATCAAAATTCTGTTTGTATTGAAATGACAAATGTTAATATTATAATAAAATGGATTAACTTTACTGTAAAAATAATTGATCATTAATAGTTCAAAAGGTAATCACTATCAACTTAGAAAATAATTTCTAACCACTAAGCTATAGAATGATAAATTATTCTGTTTAAACTTGGCTTCAAGTTTAATAAGATTGGCTACTGTTGAACTTCGCACTGATAATAAAATCAAAAAATAATTTAGTTTATTGGTATAGTATTAAAAGAAAATGTAACATAAAACTTCAACGTGCTATAATTAATAATAATAATAATGAGATAAGACTGAAAACAAACAAATATTCAGTGCTCAATGGATGATAAATGATTTTCTCCAAGCAAGTGAATAGTTTTCAAATTAACATGTTCAGTTAACATTCACTTAATAGTTAAACTGATTATCTTTCATTTTGTGTATTTAAGGTGCTTCTGTGGCTGTTGTCTCATTCCATTTTGTGTAAAGGCATGTAAAGATGTTGATCACAAATGTCCTGAATGCAGTCATCACATTGGAACATATCGCACGTTACAAGAAAAATATATGAAATAACGTTGATTTGCAAATATGTTGTGATATATACTTTTGTATCAAATTGGTCAATGAGTACGTTTCTTTGTTAATTTTCTCTCACAAATACATTTGTCACGAATATATAGATTTATTTATTTATTATTTATTTATTTGAACACATAAATATTGGTACAAGAGGGCACCAAATATATATGCGCCACACATAACGATGGGAATTCGAAGAGAGATAGAAAGAAAAAAAACTAGGGAGAGCAAAAGAAAAAGAGAACAATAACGAAGAGATTGGAGTAAGGTAGTGTGGTAGTAACGACGGAACGAAAAGGTACAATCAGAAGAAATCTTTCAGGTAAAGGAGACACAACCACTTTTTATGAAGAAAGTAAAAGAAGGTTACAGCAGGATCGCCATTGGCTTCTATTCTGAGCTATATCTGATAACGTCTCTAGCCACTGTGTAGCACCATCTCTCGGACCCCAACCAGGGAGTCGTGAAGGACCAACAGAAGCCAGTCCTTTGCAGCTTTCTTTCATACCACGACACCATGTCATGCACTGACCACCTCTCCGCTTCTTCCAACCAGTCCCAGAGTCGGCAAATAATGCACGACGTGGAATTCTCTGGGACGACATTCGTAGAACATGTCCAAGCCACCGAAGTCGGTGTTTCAAGATGGTGACACCAATTGAATTATCGTCTCTGTGCCCGAACACACGATGCCGACCCTCTGCATTACTAACATGGTATTGCCACTGGATGTCAGCAATCCTTCGGAGACAGCGATGATCGAACACAGAGAGTCGACTAACATCCTCAACTCGGAGAGGCCAGGTTTCACAAGCATAGAGTAGAACTGCTCTCACCGACGCGTTGTAGATCCGACCTTTTACAGCCAGACTAACATCACGAAGGCGCCAAAGGTGGCCCAGATTGGCATAAGCCGCTCTAGCTTTCACCATACGTGCATTGATCTCATCAATCACGTCACCATCAGCACCTATGCAGCTACCTAGATACACGAACTTTTCGACTACTTCTATTTGCTCACCATCCAGGGTGAGTACAGGATTGGAATCCTGCCAGTCTTGTAGAAGTACTTTGCACTTGGAAGGTGCAAAGCACATACCATACCTACGGACACTGATTGCCAACTGATTAAGTGCGGATTGCATGGCTTGGGCATTACCGCACAGTAAGACAATATCGTCCGCATACTCAAGGTCGAGAAGTCTTTCTCCAGGCAACAGATCCACACCACCATTACTTACATTCATCAGAGCTGTTTCCAGAATGTCATCGATGGCAAAGTTGAGGAGGAATGGTGAGATTGGGCAGCCCTGCCTAACCCCACTACTCGAATGGAACAATGGAGAGAGGTGGTTGTATGCCCTCACTCTGTCTGAGGTGTTTGTATATAGGGCCTTTAAGATGTTAATAAACTTCTCAGGCACACCCTTCTTCAATAGACAATCCCAGAGGACAATCCTGTCCAACGAATCGAAGGCAGCCGTGATGTCAAGAAACACTACGATTGTTAGCCTTTGATAAGCATGACGGTGTTCTAACATTTGGCGGAGGGTGAAGATATGATCAATACATCCTCGACCAGAACGAAACCCAGCCTGCTCCTCGCGAGTCAATCTTTCTCGGATTTTGAACAGTCTATGAAGTATGACGGAAGCCAATAGCTTGGACGCAATCGGAAGTAGACTTATCCCCCGATAGCTGTTACAGGAACGACGTGAACCCTTTTTAAAGATAGGGACAACTATCGACTCATTCCATGACGTTGGTACACTCTCTAGTTCCTAAACCTTTGTAAACAACGTCGTCAATTCCTTAGTCAAAAAGTCACCACCATCTTTAAAAAGAGCCGGAGGTAAGTCATCTGGGCCAGGTGATTTGTAACGGTTCAAGAGTTGGAGTTCCTTGCGGACTTCCTCCTCGTTTGGTGGATCAGTCATCACCGGCCATAGAGAGCAGGACAGTCTGACCGATGTTGCCGGAGCAGCAGGCCAGTTGAACTGCCCTTCGAAAAATTCTGCCCATCGTCCAAGACGTCGATGGATGTTAGTGATTGGCATCCCATCATCCTCGCAGATTGTTTCGCTCACACCAGACTTCTTGCTGCCAGTGGCTCGGATGAGTTGGAACCAATATATAGAAGATGAAATTCATCCAGCCAATCTATCTTGTGTTCATCACTGACTGATGCTCCGATCGAGGATATTCAGTTGAGTTAATTGATGATGTGGATTGTACACCAACGACTGGTTATCATGATGTAGTTGTTGTAGGTGTCTGATGGTCTGTAACGTAAACTTTGAAGGAAGTACTTAACTAGATAGTGAATGTGATGTGGTGTGAATGGAGATGAATCGGATATTTACAATGTAGATTGTCACAAGATCTAATATTTCCAGTGAATTTAATGTTCCCACAACCTAGCTGATGGTATGTGATATGGATAGCAACATAGGCTTCATGTTTTAGTGTAGTCATGATTTGTAATTTCATTCATAGCTTTGAACAGTCGTTCGTGTATGAAATGATGAATGTGATAAACGAAGTAGTGTCAGATTGTTTATTTATTGTGTTCATTTAACTTCATGCAAAATATTTCTGAAACGACTATATTTATACATTTTCAGTTGCTCTGTATGAATAAGGATATCAAAAGGTTTAAAATTGTATTTGAATCAGATGCTGCCCTTCAGTCAATCAAAAAATGGGACTTGGTGAATTCACGAATTATTGTGTATTAATGTTGACGAAACTGAATAGTCTGTACTATTGAGAACGCTATTAAGAATCGGTTAATTAAGAAAGTGGAATGAATCAAGTATGGTATTGTTAGATGTCCGCAAGGAGATGATTATCTTTTTATGTTTTTCACGTGACCACAGTCATCAGGAAAACACGTGAATATTAGTTACGTTAGACGTTATCGGTCTGAAAATTCATCCCTTCAGCATCCAAAACCATAAATTCCACAACCAAACTGTTCACAAGTCACTTAATATCTTGAAGGACAGATCTTGCAAAGTCACCTGCAAATAGCTATCATTTATCAGAAATAAACTTATACTCGCTAGTCAATCGTGAATTTAGTTAGCACTGAGTCTTGGATGACTATCTTTATTGCGAGCTGGTGTCTGTTTCATATACTTCTATATACGTTTACCATGTGCCACAAGAAGCCAGGGGATATGGTCTTTTCAACAGGTCGTTATATCACTTACTTATCAATTCAACGGAAGTTATAATTTTGGTTTAATTTGTTAAGGGGCATAAAAAAATACAATTATTCATCGTCAAGCTTGAATGTACTATATTGTTCAGCAAGTACTTATATACTGATATACTCGCGCGCAAATAGTTAACCTCTAGACCCCTGAACCGGCATCCAACGGTTATAATGTCTAATTTCGATCAATCCACGATATTGTTCGGCCATCTTCCATTGTCTTTGAAGGGTGACTGCCATACATATAGCATTGTTGATCTCCACTGATCACGGCTTATTACTAGTGCTCCGAGAGCTATCTCTCGAAGCTAGTTACTAGTGAGAACATGATCATTATCATTATAGGCTTGTAGAGATTAACAGATAATCTCCATTTAAACATTAAAAACACGAGGTTCAGCAAAGAGATCTCCTTTAAACGAATTTAATATTAAGCTGTGCAATCGTATATACATGAAATTTATTTTGTTAAAGTGCTAGTTCCGTGAGGAAATGTGAACAAGGAATAAACAAGATGGTGTAAAGACTGCTCAATTTTATTTGAGCTCATTAACCGACCAATGTTAGACCACCACTGGAAACCTGGAAGCACTGAACGGTCGTTTCATCCTAACATCCGACTCCTCAGCACTTTTTGACGGTGATCTAACATTGATCGGTTCATGAATTCAATTAATGCCAGATATGTACAAAAAGCTAAACTATTTGTACATTATTGTACACCTGTATCATGTCATTTTCAAATTGATATGAACGTTTCTTGTCAAGCAGTACTGCTCATAAACTACGAAGCGTAGAGTTCACGCTTGTAAAAAAATACAGTTTACAGTTTCCATTAAAATAAAAATAGTTTTCACACTCTGAGAACAATATTATAGACACGGATCTCAAAACGTTGAAGATTGTCGACTAACTTAACCACTAGTTTTGAGATTAGAATTTTAAAAAGTGAATTTCGAGTCAGCCAAATCAATCCTTTCAGTCTTTCCACTAATCAAATGAGGCGTGATTATTTTGATTCTCCAAAGAAAATAGTATTACCTAGAGTAATGGAAACTAAACTATTTTATGGGTTGATGATAACATATTTGATCTAAATTATTTTGCTATATTAGGGGTTGAAAACTTCAGTCATAACAAATATTGGTTTCATGAAAGAGGTACGTATGAAATACTCAATCGAAATACAAATGAAATAATTTGCTTGTTGCTTTTTGCTAATGTGATAACCGGGTGGTACCATTAAACAACTGTTGGTTAAGTTTGACATTGATTAGCATTTCATTGTGAGTGACTATGTCATACATGTTATAGTTCATACTGATGTAAACGAAGCTAATGGGAGTTCGTAAATATCGCTCGAAAAATAACTTCAGAGGTCCGGAGAAGGGGTAAAAACGTCTTACCCAGTCAGTATCGAACAGACATCTTAGGGAAATATTAAAAAAAATGAAGAGTTTTGTTCTATTTTGATTAGATATCTACTTATGCTGTCACCATATTAAGTATATTTCCAGGGATTTTTGGAAAATCAAGATCCTATAAAACATCACTAAGGCACCCAGTTTTCTGAACATCATTGTTCTTGGAGTAAAACTTTAGCTTACATAGCATGTCTTTTCTCTATTGTTCGGGTGGAAATGTAGAAGTAGTTCAGGGTTATAGGAAGCCTTTGAGATAACGGCAACGAGAGTTCAAACGCCAGACTTATCAAAAACACTGAAATTATTCAAACACTTCACTTCTATTTGAAGTTTGTGCTGATGATGTCGTTCAGAAGGACGATGAAAGCTCCACGACCAAACCATCCAGCTCAGAGAACAAAACTCCACCAAAATATTTCTACATGTTTACTAGTATAACGTCATTTGAGAATATTCTAAACCAAATAATTACATTGTTATGTCTAGTACATTAGAACTATGAATATGATGTTCAACATGTGAATTACGCGTCAACAATATTTCAGTTATGATATAGAATTTTCCCATCATTCATAGAGTTTACATTCATCATAAATCTATTCTAACAAAAGGAATGTTTCGAAAAGTAAATATCTCAGGAACTAATAAGGGACTTCAAAAACACTTTTCTTTGCCTACCGTATAGTTCAACCACGGAGGAATGACTGAAAATCAAAGTAAATGCATGAAAATTAGCATTGCATGGGAAAATAAATACTATTATTAATTTCGAATTAGTAACGTTAAATTTATATAATCAACCATGTTACTTATGAGTAGTTGCTATTTTACAGCACATAATTTAAAGCATAGTGACCAAAGCTTCATACATATCTGTATAGACAGTACTATGAATTTATCTGTGTAAAAGTACATTCTATGATATTTCTTAGCATTCGCATTCGACTGTATGATCTTTAAACACAAATTTATATAAGTTGAAAATGTATGAAATTTATTGTTGACATGATATATAAACTAGGGTCATCTTAAGCGAATATAGATTTCACTTTTATACGACTTTAGTTCGTATCCTGTCAAGATGATTTAGGTCCACTTAACCTTTGTCATCTTAAATTAGTGATATTTTCCTTCAATATCATCCACCGAGAGAAGTCTCCTTAATAATAGTTCAAAGTGTAGATTGCACCGGATCCTTTCAACATTATCAGATACTGATTATCTGCTTTCTCCATTTTACCTACAAGGAATCTATTAAGTAAAAAGTTATTATGATACTACAAAAAGGACGTTTAAGAAATCACAAACGGTTAGAATGGCAGCAGCGTTTTCTATTCATGTACTACTTAGTACACAATTTCATGATTATTTTTGTTATTTCAAAACAACAAGAAATCTTCAGATCATTCAAACAGTATAACAAACTCCTACCTACCTAAACTCTGATATCAATGTTAGAAGTAATAATTTTTGAAATCGTCATTTCGAAACTCAGCATAATATAGTCTAACTTTGTTTTATTACAAGTGAAAATCATTAGATAGTTTCTTTTGATTTTCTTTGAAGAATTGATTATAGCAAAGATATATTACAAATGTCATATATTTGAACAATCATAAAATAATGTATATTTGAAGGTATGCAAGTGTTTATTTATGTTACTGAGAGTTGTTTTGAAATAAATTCTCAGTGAAGATGTTAACAAACAAGTTACTTTATAAGCTCAACACAAACACTCACATATCATGAAATGTATCAAAAAGGTTTTTTTGTATCACGATGATGTATTATGAAAAGATTACGATGTACATAAATTTATGCTACTCCTCAGACAATTAAAATAACCCATAAATCCTCCTATAGACATACATTTTCCATATAACTATATATACGGATGTACAGCTTAAGTAAATGATTTCGTAGAAAAGAAAATTTTCTTCGCCGAATTCTCTTTTTCTTATTATGCTACTCCATTATTCTATTCTTACTTATGTTGATGAAAGTTAATCAAGAGAAAATTTTCTTTAAATCGTACACAAATTGTAGAAAATCACTGATTATTTGTTCAGAAAAATGTAACTTTTATTCAGTTAATCCATAAATCACTTTGTATATTTGAATCTCATGAATGTGACACAAATCGAATGGTGAACAATGTTCCTTTTCATAGAAACAACAATCATACCATTCATTATCATTAGAATAAATATTTGATTATTGAAAAGTTAGAAATCAAATTGAAATCCTATTAAATATTAAACTTTTAAATAAAACTAACTCATTTCATATCAGACATTTGTATTATTATTGAATAAACAAGCTTACATAGTAGAATAAAATGATTTAAAACTGTAATTATATGAGAGTTTGATATTGATATGTCGAGTATGAATTCATTATTATTAATTAGCTTGATTCATCTTCTAATATTAAATGCTCAATCTCCTAGTCTACGATAAGATCCAATGTATCTGTGACAACTTGGGCATTTATGATCCACATCTTTACACGCTTTCACACAGAATGGTATTAAACAACAACCACAAGCCCCTCTGTACAAAAAGAATGAAAATTAAATGGACTAGAATAAACTACAACTTCTAAATTATTGAAATAAAATTAGTTTTCATATGAACTAGTATTCACATTTATTAATTTTAATACATTTGAAAAGCCTAATATGTGAGGTGATGAATCTACCCATGTTAGACCACCATTGAAGACCAGGAAGTACTGGAAGGCCGTTTCGTCCTAATATGGGACTCCTCAGCGTCGCGCATCCACGATCCCACATATTGGATTCGGAGCCGGGTCTCGCGCGCAAACGCTTGACTTCTAGACCACTGAACCAGCATCCGTCGTCTCAATCAAAAACTCATCAATCTCTACAACCCCATACTGATAATTAACAATACATCGTTCACCAGAATACAGAAAGTCATCATTAGATATCTAGACGAAAATACTTTTGCATCATTTCATTGCTAATATGTAATGGTGTTTCACATTTATTTTCTGAAAATTTCCTTCTAATCAGTTAACATTCACTCTATCACTACTCTTTTTTTAGAAACAACGGACTTCATGTCTAAATGTACGTGAAAAGTTTTCTTTAAATAATTCATAGGGGATCGATAACAATTTCAGAATACAAAATAACTCAATCACCCTTGTATGAAAATTATTTGCTATAACAAACTCTATGACACAACTAAATATAATTAGAAATGAAAGGTTGAAAAACCTGTGATCAAATTAAGACGAACTTTCATCTTTTCAGCATTTAACTAATCGAAAGTGATGTAACTTCTCAATTTTTGTATGTTGATGTCAAAGATTTTACTAATAGGTTACATAGTTTAAAACTACATAAGTTTATTTAAAGCATTTTATCCTTTTTAATTCTTATGAGGATGAATTAAAATAACTTTATCGTAGCAACCCATATATATGTATGTTTATATCCGTCACTATGAGTATCAGTATTAATTCATCCAATCAAAATCTATTCACTTATATATCTAACTTTGATCTGTTGTCATTACAAGGTTTCCAGCGTCTAATGTTGTGGGTGAGATACGGTGTCACTCTCTTGACTTAAACAATCACAACTTCCTACTATAACATTGGGAAATCTACGTACAATTTAGTTTCTTGTGGATGTATCATTATTAGAGAAAGTTTTCATGCCATTATTAAGAGATGATGGTGTATACTAAATTGTCATACAATACCATAATAGGATAGCATTTAAATAAGTTCACCTCAATAAATAGAAAATTAGTCTTTATTTTAATAAACATAATGTCTGACAACCAGGATAATCTTTATTACTCTACTTTTTAACATCATTTGACTGAATAAAGGTTGTATGAAAATCGAAATGAATCACTTTACTTTCTTTTTTTTTTGTAATGTTGCTATCACAATGTCGTATGAAACTTATTAACTAGTATTTTATCTATAGTAATAAGTAAATTAACATCATAAAATTAACTAACCTACCCAAGAACGAATATACCGATACAAGCTGCATAAGTTAATAAACCATTATGATATTCTAATTGTGTAGATATATCTTTCCCACATGATGGACATTTTAATGTTGTTGATCTATCTCTAAACTCTTCTCGTGCTTTTGGTTGATTAGTAGTGATCAGTGGAACTTCAACTTTAGATAGTGTTTTCTCTATAAGATATAAAAAAAACTAGATTGTATTTTGTAAAATGAAAGAAAATTTGAAATTTAATGAAAATGATTCTTTCACTGTATAATGGCATTTACATGGTGAGTAACATTTGATGGTGAATAAAAATTTGATTTTAGCTAACCAATGGTATTCTCAAGAAATGATTATATACTTTCCTGTAAACATTTTCTTCTGATTAGATTAAAATTAATTTTTGTTTTGAAAAGCTAAAATTTTGATATCATTTGTGGTCTCATCATCAATATAGTTGTAGTAATGAACAGATCTATACCGATATAGTCTAACATTAAAACTTAAATCTGTTTGACCCTTATTAAAAATAGGCTATTTTTAAACACAGATGAAAGGGATATGGTTTCTCAAGTTACAGGCATCCGAATTTATCCTCATAGATTTTGAAGATACAATAATCGAGTAAGTATTGATAAGTTAGTTAGAACTGATAAAATACAACTAAAAGTTGACCACTACTCTTAAATATAGATATTTTAACCGGTAAACATAAAGAGCAATACACCCGATGATTTAAATGTAAAAAGAACCACTAGATGAATTAAAAAGCACTTAATTAGTACTCAGAAATCACAATCAGGAACGTATATAATAACTGAATATAACTATTTTTATTTTTGATTGAGGTCATGAACCGATTGATGTTAGACCACCATTGGAAACCTGGATGCACTGGACAGCAGTTTCTTCCTATTGTGGGACTCCTCAGCAGTGCAAATCCACGATCCCGCTCGCGAGATTCGAACCTAGGGCCTTCAGTCTCGTGCGCGAACGCTTAACCTACTGGAACACTGGGCCGGCATCCAGTGGTGTTAATGTCTAACCTCAACCAATCCACGAAGTTGCGCAACGATCTTCCATTGTACTGAGGTAGATACCTGTCTCTATCCGACATCGATTAGCTCCACTGGTCACGGCTTCTAACTAGAACTCTGAGAATTCCCTCACGAAGCTAGTCACTAGTGATCACATGTTAATTGTCAGTATAGGGGTTGTGGAGATTACTAAGTTTTGATTGAGATCATAAACCAATTGAGGAGTCCCACAATAGGACGAAACGGCCGTCCAGTGCTTCCAGGTTTTCAACGGTGGTCTTACATCAATCGGTTCATGATCTCAATTAAAAACTCAATAATCTCCACAACCCCTATATTGAGTATTTTTATTACTCGTTTTGCTAGCTGTCAGTTAGAAAATTCCAAAATATCTTGTTTCTTGATCTAGTGAATAGAATCGAACATAGCGTTTTCGGAATCCAGTATTAAATTTATGTGAATTAATCATTTATGAAAAAACATATGGATAAACAAATTTACACGTCTGATATATAATCGTAAGCCATATATTATAATCACGTATCAAAATCATCTCCAGTTCTGTTGGCTAACATTAGGGGCTAAATAACTGAAGAAATAATAGTTGGGTAAATATACACATTTTTCCTTCATCTAACTGATCAACATATGTCTAGTTACTTTAAAAATATTTCGAAGTATTAAGTCAACAACTGTTTGATTAGTTACAAATAAGTTATTCTTATCAGTAAATGACGAAGTAAGAAGGCATTGATAACGAGTATTGAGTTCACGAGTTTTATAATGAGATGCACATTTCGAGTGTTTACGATTTCGATTTTACAGACATAATTGCTTACAAATCTCAAATGAACGATCCAAAAGGGGGGAAAACACACATTTTCGCTTGCTGACGCTATATTGACAGATGAAATGTTGAACAGCACCTTCTTTGTTTAGCCTTTACAACACAACTGATCTTACCATTCACATAGTCATATTCAAAACTGACCATTAACTAGGAGATGAAATGTTATGTATGCCCATTGGTCACTGAATGATGATTGTTGTTGTTATCAAATTTTATTTAACCAGTCAAGGAGATTATGATGAAAATACTAACTTGTTTAGTAGGACACTGATTCAGTTTGAAAGATCTAAAGTAAATTATTGGATATACTGAATATCATCAAGTGTCGATAAACGTTGATGAATACACTTGAAACACAGATCAGTTTTGCTATACGACTCCAGTAAGGTTTCCGACTAAATGATTATCATAATTGCTAACCAGTGTCAAATTTTTTTATCAGATGAATCACAAGCTATGCATGATTTGGGACATCAGAATGAGGCATTGAAATTGTATCACATCTTGAAAAGTGTAGAGCAACATTGTCTCACAAAATGTTCTGACTTACCGGATTGCTTCTGCATATCTCAGTACTTCACACTTGCGTAAGATGATGAAAATCGAATCAATGAGAATCTGGTGATTGTTGATTGAAGCGATAACAATATTTTAACCACACATTCTTAGTGAATGATCTCTTTATATAGGTTGAGTTTAATGTAAACTTTGTAAGATATTGATGAATGAAATTATTCATGATAGTTGTATTGGTTATACTAACCTGATATTCCACTTCTTACAACTAATTGGGTCAAGAAAAAAGTGCATTGTTGTTTAATAGTTAATCAGTTTGATGAAACTTAAATGTGCATACAAACGTAATTGGTCATCTGATAGTAACATTAAATGTAATTATATCAATAAATAGCAAAAAATACATGCATGCAAACGTGAGTAAATATAGTTTGGTCCGCTTAACAAGAATATAAAGGTTTTTCCTATGCAAACGCTTTTATTGCATCGGTAATTGATAACATTTTTTTAGCTTTCCAATCATGTTTCTACAAACGATAATTCTTATGTCATGTTATTCTGTAAAACCTAAAGGTAGTATTTGGAGCTTTACAGTTTCTGATTGTATGAATTGGTGGGTTGTTCAGTATGAAGATGGAACACTTTTTTCAGTGTTTATTGGGTAGTAACGATTGTCGAGTTGGTAGTGATCAGCAACAAAACCCTTTTAAATTGACTGGGTTGATCCACGTATAAAGAATCCTCAATTAATAGGTATAACTAAGTGCCTTACTACGAAATACATTAATGCCGCCTGTTTAAAACAGATTACCAGGATTCACAGAATAAAGGGATTAACTAACATCCAGCATATTTTGAGTATCATTTACCTAGGAAACACAATTACCAATGTATACTGAGAATCATCTGTTTTGTATTACACTTTGAGTGAGTTTTCGGCATCAATGAGTATTGGTATGTAAACAGTGCAGCAATTTCAAAAATTTTGTAGACATACCTGAAATGGAATTTCTGTTCATTATATCTACATACACACCATGGTTTTCACCACAAAGTACAAAAGTTGAATTTTTTACTTTACTCCAAATTCCTTATAAGTTTAAAGAAATAAAAATAATAGTGCATTTATTCAATAATGTGTAGTGACTCAATTTTATCACGAGAACACGATTAGTTTATTGAAAACAATTATTATTATAACCAATTGTACCAGTGACTGTTTAATGTGCTCTTTGCTTAACTGTGCTAAAAACATCCATTATACTCACTTTGATTGTGACCTCGCGCGAATCCGATTACGCTCAGTAACCAAGCTTGTATCCTGGCACGATCTCGGTATTCTTTCGGTACCACGAGATCGCCAGCAAATAAATCTCGACTGGATCCATTAATTGCCTTCTGATATTTGGCTTCCGGGGGATTTTATGGATATTCTGGTACGCGTTCCTTTGTAGCGGTGTTCATAGTCAACTGGGACTCGACACCACACTACAAATGCATGCTCAGTAAAACATAGAAGTCTTAACGAACTATATTCAATAAATTCATGTTGCCCATCCTTTGTACTTTGAATTAAAGCACAGATTCTAATATATCTACTGTTTTTCTTTCTGAAGATAAACAAGAAGCATGTAGATGAAGTGGGTTTGTACCTAATAAAATAGCACTTATAAACTTGTTTGCAAGATTTCAAATATTTATCCACAACTATATAATGGCTGTAAATGCTTCACTATATATTTTGCTTGTCCCCTTGATCGCACTGCACGACTGAGTGAAATATTTCCTCTGAAGTCCAGAAAAAAAGTGAGAAACAGTATAGTATTGTACAGTGTTATGGCGGAGGACTCTACTCACAAGATTGTTTGTTAGTAGCATGAAGCAAATCGTGGGGTTGAAACTATCACAGTCGTCTAGAGAAGAGAAAAGTTTATAATGACATTAATATTCAGTGATTTTTGTAACGACATTTTCTCTTTATTTACTACACTATATATCCATATTTATATCCAAAGCCTATTGCTATGTGTTTATAAAAAAACGGGCGTAATTGATTGGTTGAATAATGCTCATGCAATCGTGGTTATTCAAATAAAACTCCAGCTCTGCCACCTATTCTTCTGCTTCATTGGCCACGGTTTGTAGCTGAAGATTATAAAGCTCTTTTAACACCCTTTTAAGCCATTTTATATCATGTTGGAATTTCGGCCTGGATTATTATTCAGTGATACTATCGGATTTATATGTCCGGTCACGCAATCGCTGCTACCGCGTGCAGAGGAACCTTCGTTAATCAAGTGAACTGATTTGTGATTGTTATCTTTGAAGTGACTCTCAAGTAACATTCATTTCGTGATGATTGTTATCAATTTTTGTCGTTTAATATACCATTTCTTTGTAATTGCTGTTTGTTTTGCTCATAAACAGACATTTGGTTTGTATTTTTAATATTTTTGGGTGTATAAATAACTTTGTGCGTTGTTACCTCTGCATTAAGTTCTTTTACTGGAATTCCCCATAATTTTCAGTACATCGAAAGCATAGTAACGGTAGAACATTTTAAGACTAGACGGGAAGACGATTCTGATTGCAGAACACACCGAAAGATGCAAATGGGTAATTGAAGCCTATGTATATGTGATATGAAAACACTGATTTCTCACAATTGATTCCATTTGCTAAATGTCTCGTTTTACACTAATTGTACACCCATATCACTACAAACTGGTAAAATTCGTTCATTGGTCAGCTTTCATAATGGTCAGTTTAGAGCATATTTTGGAGGCTGGAGAGAATTGTTTTGAACTGGTGAGCATCTGAGACTGTTTACTACTGGACTATACAATATTAGGATTAAACATGCTTTCAATGTTCAGTGGACTGTAGCAACTATAGTGTAGTGTTTGTATGAACTAATGGTTCTTTCGTACTTATTGACTGCTTGATTTTGAATTCCGAATACAATAGGTTTGTTCGTGCTCATCTAATACTTTTTGGTTAAAGTGCGTTATTTCTGGGATTCTTAGTTTGTACTATGATTCAAATACATCTTATTGCCACATATAATCGTGAAGATAAATTAGAACAGCAGTATTTTTCAAACTTGTGAAGTTATTAAAATGTCTAACATGAACCACTCATAAATTATCATCGATCCACAGATACTTTTGTTTTATTTCCACTTTATTCAGCCGAACAATAAATAATTCTACAGTACAAGAGATTTATAATTTTTTGTTTCATAGAATATTTTTCATACATATTAATGACTTGTGGTTTTCGGGTCTGAACCAAACTGTCAAAATGAAATATGATAAATTCTAGTACTACCACACACTTAGATGATTCATGATAGCTTTTGAACGGACTTTAAAAACTCAGACAGCACATTGAGTCACTTTTACCTTCATAATAACTCCATTTTTTCATAGGGAATTGTAATCCTCAGTAAATATACATCTTAAATTCATGCTCCCTTAGTTCTACGCTCATATGCCTATTGTACACTCATATGTCTGTCACTCGTCATTTTATCTAGTCCCTAACTTTTTCACACCGCGCATTACCTATTTTGAGCGTGTGTGTGTTTACCGTTTACCCTATTCATCACCTGTCTTTAGCCTATTTTTGTATGGCTATGATTCGTGAGTGATGTGTAGTGACCTACTTTTATCAAGAGAACGCGATTGGTTTAATGGAAACAATCATTATTATAACCAATTGTACCAGTGATTGTTTTACTGTACTTGCTTGTTTATTTGTACTAAGGACATTGTTCCTTCCTTTAATTGTAACCTTGCACGAATTCAGTTACGCTCAGTAACCAAAATTGTACTCCTTTGGCACGATCTCGGTAATTTTTCGATACCACGAGATCTCCAACGAATACATCTCGACTACAGCCATCAACTGCCTTCTGATATTTGGCTTACGGGGGATTTTATCGGTTAACTGGCACGTAGTCTTCCTGTAGTGGTGATCACAGTCAACCGCGACTCGACGCCACGCTACAGATACTTCATTAAAATGAGTTGGCAATCTTGCCTTCTTCACTTTGCTTCATTTCCTCACTTATTATTTTGAATGTCTGACTGCGTTAACGAATATCTGAAATAAATTTATCCTACTCAGTCCTTAGTTGGCTTCGTTTCATCGCCGTCGTCCAAATGGAGTTGGTCCAACAACAGTGTACGGAAATAAACGGAAGATTTAAGTTCACAGCATATTTAATCGTTCGTCTAAATAAGAGTCAGATCTTGGTCCGCTAAATTACCGATTGTATTTAGAGAGTTGATTGAAATTAAAATTTGACTGCATACATCCCATCAAAACAAAGGTTTTTCAGAGGAACAAATGATATACAACAAAAGCACGACCAACAATTGAACAAGATTACTTGTGAAATTCTCTCCGATTATTTGTAACCCAGAAGTAAAATTTTTAATTCGTCGTTTTGCTTAACATCTAGTTCATTTTGATTCCAGTCTAACCTGATGATTAAATACATTCAGAATGCTAAATTATGTGTCCGTGGTACTTGTCAGGAACTGACCTTGGTTGAGGTATCATTGAGAACTAAGCAGAATTAAGATAACAGTCTCGTTTTATTGTAATGCTCCTCAGAAGCACTCAATGACAATACTTTCAAAATATGGACCCACAATCTTCAGGTTTCACAGTGAGTTTACTTAAGTGAGTGAATGAAATTAGAGTTAAACTTAGAAAACGTGTATGATGAGCGAAATATATGGTGCTCATTTCGAATATTAGTTTTGTGTATTTAAGGTGCTTCTGTGGCTGTTGTCTCATTCCATTTTGTGTAAAGGCATGTAAAGATGTTGATCACAAATATCCTGAATGCAGTCATCACATTAGAACATATCGCACGTTACAAGAAAAATATATGAAATAATGTTGATTTGCAAATATGTTGTGATATATACTTTTGTATCAAATTGGTCAATGAGTACGTTTCTTTGTTAATTTTCCCTCACAAATACATTTGTCACCAATATATAAAAGATGAAATTCATCCAGTCAATTTATCTTG